CATACAAAAATATCTATTACACTAATTGATAATGTTCTTGGAAGTAGGATTAAAGAAATATTACTATTTAACTAAATAAAGGAAAATAATATGCTTTTTTTCACAAAAGCGATAAGAATGAATGAACAAATGAACGAATGAATAATAATAATAATAATAATAATAATAATAATAATAATAATAATAATAATAATAATAATAATAATAATAATAGTAAAACGTTGATAATACTAGTAATAGTGATATTAAGTAAAATAATAATGATAATTAGATCTAGTTTATGCTAAAAATGGTAAAATAACTATTCTTATATTATTAGCGATATTAGAAGCTTAAAGAAATAGTTTGGAAGAAAGGAGGGACAAAATTGGATGTCAACAGTTGTCCCTCTTTGACCGGAGACGATGAAAGAGTTTTCAGGCAAAGAATATTGACTTAGTAGCCAATTTTGTCCCGACCATAAAGGTTGTAATGGGACAAAGGGGACGTAAAGAAAATGATTGCGGCCGAACTCCGATTTCGAGAATAATCGGGTCATATGTAGTTCAAGACTTATGGTATTATGGAGTAGGACACAACTATTGATGCAAATCTTAAAATGTTGCCGCAATGTTGAATTATAGAGACAATGGGCACCATGATTGAAAGAAAGATATTTGAAATAAGCATTTGGTTAGGAATTTTGAGAGTTGAGTCGAGCGGAGTTCGAAGTAGATCCTTGACCTTTGTTGGAGAGTTTGGTATTCCTCCCCAACAAATTGCCCCAGTTCACTGCTAAGATATAGTTTCACATTGCACTATATTTCCTGCAAAGCTTAACAATGGTACAAATATTTGTTAGGAAATAAGGTGCAATATGGCATAAAGTAATCTTATGAAACTAATATTTAGGTATCGATTCATAAGAAAAGCGAATTTAATGTGCAAACATATAAAAAATATAATTTTATGGTGACATATTTCATGGTCAGCAATGGCACATGGAAATTTGATAAATGCATTTGGCAACGATTTATGAAAAATATATTTCGGCAATGCTTATGCAAGCGGGACCACTCGGGTCGAAATAAATTAAATATCCTTTTGAAAAAGGGTTAACTTTTATATCCTATTGGAGGGCGGATATACCCGATATATCCTATTTGAGGGCGGATGGACCTGATATATCCCGTTTGAGGGCGGATGGACCTGATATATCCTGTTTGAGGGCGGATGGACCCGATATATCCTATTTGAGGGCGGATGGACCCTATATATCCTGTTTGAGGGCGGATAGACCCGGTATATCCTATTTGAGGGCGGATAGACCCGGTATATCCTATTTGAGGGCGGATATATCTTATATATCCTATTTGAGGGCGGATAGATCCGATATATCCTATTTGAAGGCGGATGAACCCAAAATATCCTATTTGAGGGCGAATAGACCCGATATATCCTGTTTGAGGGCGGATAGACTCGATATATCCTATTCGAGGGCGGATAGACCCGATATATCCTATTCGAGGGCGGATAGATCCGATATATCCTATTCGAGGGCGGATAGACCCGATATATCCTATTTGAGGGCGGATAAACCCAAAATATTCTATTTGAGGGCGAATGGACCCGATATATCCTCTTCGAGGGTGGATGGACCTGATATATCCTGTTTGAGGGCGGATGGACCCTATATATCCTGTTTGAGGGTGGATAGACCCGACATATCCTATTTAAGGATGGATAGACCCGATATATCCTATTTGAGGGCAGATAGATCCGATATATCCTATTTGAAGGCGGATGAACCCAAAATATCTTATTTGAGGGTGAATATATCCGATATATCCTATTTGAGGACGGATAGACCCGATATATCCTATTTGAGGGCGGATAGACTAAAAGTATCCTATTTGAGGGTGTATAGACCCGATATATCCTATTCGAGGATGGATAGACCCGATATATCCTATTCGAGGACCCGATATATCCTATTCGAGGGCGGATAGACCCGATATATCCTGTTTGAGGGCGGATAGATCCGATATATGGTGATTGATTTGTAATTACAAAACTTGATGCAGTGCGAAGAGCTTGATACGCTGCAGAGAGCTTGACATGGTTCCCATTTTGTAGTGGTAATTCATGGTGCGATGTAAAAATTCTGGTGCAGTAACTTTATAGTAGCGAATATCCATGGTGTAGAGAGCTTGATGCAGTGCCTTTATAGAAGCAAATATTCAGGGAGCGGTGCCAATAATTTGGAATCTGCATGCTGAAATTTATTATTGGTAAATTCCCGCACTCAACGAAAACTATGAGTTTCAAAATATAATTTGCGATAATCGGCTTGATCATTTTCTTCCTCATGTAACTTCTGACTTTGATGCTGAGCTTTTAGGGAAGCGTGCAATATTATTCAAGAATAACTAAAGTTTTCCCCTGCATTACTCAAAGAGAGTTGTTAGTATAAAAGAACATGGTTGCCTTTCATGGAACATCAAAGTTTTGGCATTGAATTTGCAAATGTATTGCTATGGCTTTTTAAACTTGCCGATGCGAAGATGACTAGAATTTAGCTCGAAAAATTGATTTCTGCTTTGCCGAATAATGAGAATCCTTTTGCAAAATCTACCCCGGTTTTGACTTTTGGGAGAAATAAAATTTTGATTATATTAAGACCAAACCCATAAGGCTGCCTATGTATCCCCTCTTAAATAGGAATCAGGTCAAAATGTAGTTCATTACAAAAGTCTCGGAAGAATTGCAAAAGAGTAGTACTAAGGGCGGGTGGAGAATGGTTATGATATGACATCGCTCTCAGTCCTCCTGATCTGCTATGCGTTTTCTCTTCAAATATCTTGGTGCCAATTTTGATGGATCGCCTTTGACAGTGATTGTGCCTGCAGTTGAAATTTCACAATTATTGCTTGGTAACTCAGGCTGTATCTTTATCTTGCCTTGCTCAATCTTGCTTTGTATCTTGAATTTGAGTGCTGAACATTCTTCAGTATCACGTCCTTGAATGTTTGAATGGAATGCACAATTTTTGGATGGATCAAAGTTTTGAGGTGGATGCTCAAAGATAAATCCTTTCCTTGGCTGCAGAAGACATTTGGCTTTCAATCTTTCAAGTATGTCAATCAACGGCTCATCCAAAGGAGCGAAATAGCAGTGCTTAATTTTCTTTTGTTGTCGAAGGTTGGGTTGTGCTCGGACAAACTACTTCTGAAAGTTTTGCTGAAAATTTTGCTGGAAATTTGGCTGGAGGTGACTGTTTTGTAAGTTGGAAGTGGCATAAGGTTGTAAAAATTGGTGATTCTCATGGCATTGTGGCTGGTGAATAGTAGTCATAGCAACTGGGCTATCTTCTTTCTTTTTGCATTGCAGGTTTTCAGATATCTCTTGATGGAAGGTTTGGTTAATGGTTTGAGTTGTTGATTTGCCTACAATTCTTCCTTCCTAAATGCCACATTCTAGCTCGTTTCCAATTCGAATCAAATTAGAGAAATTGCATGCACAAGTTGCGAGCAACTTATCAAAATATATGCCTTCTTGAATTTAAATGAAGGTTGAGATCAATTCTCCCTCAGGCAATAGAGGATGTATTTTTGAAGCTTCTAATCTCCATCATATGGCATACTCTTGAAAAAATTCATGCGGCATTTTCTTTACTTTGAGAAAATCAGCCATGTGCGGATCACGTCCAATGTTAAACTCATATTGTTTCACAAAATCGTGAGCCATATCTTCCCATGTACGCCATTTGCAAAGTCTTGTCTGGTGTACCAAGTCAGCGCTAATCCGGACAAACTTTGAATGAATAATCTCATTCGAATAGCCTCATTATGTCCAATACCAGTCAATCTGCTACAGTAATCCTTTAAATGAGCAACGGGATCTCCAATCCCATTAAAAGTATTGAACTTAGGCAGCTTGTACCCTAGCAGAAGCTCAACATGTGGATGCAAACACAAATCTTCATACCTCAAACTTTGATAACTTCTTGATTGCAACTCATTTTCAATGGCTTTCTTTAGATTGTGGAGCTCATTGTCCAAATTCTGGTGTCCACTTGACTGGATTTCTTTACCATGTCTTACATATTGGCACAATGCTAATTGGTCTTGCTTGTCTTCCCTAAAAGGAATCTCGACCGCGGAAGGTTGGATATTGGGCATCATCATAACTTGATTAGGAGTGTAGGTTAATGGTATTTGTGGAGAGATTGTATAAGTAGGATTTGCGCAAGAAGATATGGTTAAGCAAATGTTTTGATTTGAGATGGAAATAGAGGCTATATTTGGAAGTAGGTCGAAAGTGTTTCCAAGATTAACCACCACGTTTCTTCTCACCACATTTGCCTTAGTACCATCAGTTTGTGCTTGCAATAGTCCCTTACTAGTACTGAATTCTTCAAATTGGTCTGTCATAATAGCCTCGTCCTTTATGCAGATTCGCAGCCAAAACAGTGTTCAATGCTAGGCAACTTTTAAAGGAAAAATAAAACTATACTAACAAAAATAAGTGTTAGTGTATTCATTATAATGAAATAAATGCATAAAAAAAATAGTGAATATGATTATAAAGATTAATCCATGATATGGTTAAGTAAGAGCCGTAAACTAAAAATGGTGGCCTATGTTGCAAAATGGATGGACGAGAATGAATTGTTATCTAGAGGGCTCTAATCGCTCGAGACTTGTTAACATGGAAGCAAATTGATTTGAAATTTTTGTGAAAGGTTGACTCATGTCGAACATCAAAGCTTTAGCTCTAACACACGTTTTTGTCATTTCATGACTCTAGCGTACTTTAAAACATTGTCCCAATCATTAAGAAGTCTCTGATGACTACTCGATGGCATGATTTCATGTTTAGCATAATCAACATGCGTGCCAAAAATCTACCTCATTTTCTTTCATGAAGGAAAATGAAAATTTTTGCTATAATGAGACCGAGCCTTATACAGACTACCTACATATCCCACCACGGGAATCAGGTCAAATGTAGTTCCAAGATACATAAAGGATAATTTTTCTAAAATGTGACCGAACCCGATGTGGATTGCCTACGTATCCCACCCAGAGAATCAGGTTCGACGTAGTTCAATTACATACAAATAAGGATCGAAAATTTTAAAAAGTGTCGAACTCGATATCCGACAAGAATCAAGCTGGTCATAGATGGATACAAAAGATGATCAATTAAGCGTACAAAATAACATAACTTCTAATGATATTGCTACTTCAAAACTAAATCTTAGTTAACGATTCCCAACTATTCTTCTTCTGAGAGGCTCTTCCACATGCTCAATTCTTTTATATTGCTTGGTTGTAGGGAAGAGATGAATTAGCAAATTGCAGATATGCTACTTGGGTGAAATTCTGTATAGGGATGACATTTGGAAGTTGGTACCACATAGATTGAGGGGGAGGCACCGGTCTCTGAATGACCCTACCATTATCCAACAGCTTCTGGATTTCCTCTTTCAGACAATGACACTCATTTATTGTATGGCCTAGCATGCCCAAATGAAATGCACAACATTTGGTTGGATTGAAATGTGGTGGAGAGATTTTGGTAGGTTTTGGTTGCATTATACCAAATGATCTCAATCTCTCAAAAATGATAGAAGGTCGTTCACTCAAAGGGGTAAAGTTTTGTGATTTTCCTATCTTAGGTGTTGATGGTGGAGGATTTAATTCTTCAGTAATCACTCTTTTCCCTTTATCCTGGAGGTGTGTCTTAACCAGCTTGCCAAACTTGAATGTTGATTCTACCGCATTTCCTTGAAGTTCGTTTGCTTTCAAATTCTGAGGATACTCTATGGATTTTCTCTTCAACGAGTTGTATCTGCTAGTAGTATCATTGGAGGACCCATATTGCTTGACAAAGTCCTTCACTCAGCTTAAGCTCCTTACAATCAGTTTCTCTAAAAGACACAATAAGAAATATTAAGCATGATATCTAATGGTAAAGCATCACACGAGAGTTCATTTGTAGTTTTCTTAAACAAAAGAAAGTATCATGTGGTTTAATTATTAAACCTAGCAAAAACTCTTAACACCTTAAGAGTAGTAAGCAAATATGTTAGGAGATTTACAGAACACTTTCCATTACTTGATTAAACAAACGGTGGTTGTTCTATTAAGCACATTCTTAGATGGTTTATGCATTTAACTTTATGACTAATAATTCATGGCATCCTAAAATGCAGCATCCCTAAAATAAAACTGATCCAGAGAGTCAGTCGAGTACCAAAATACCTATAGGCATGATATTTCTAAAGCAGCAAGCAAGTTGAAAGCACATTTCTGTCGATGCAATTTATTTCAAGCGATACATTAAGAATCCTATAGGCATGACTTCTAAGCCTTTCAGACATCATTCTTTTATCAAATAACATTTTAGCAGAGTACTTCTTCTATATGACGTTTAAGTAAGTAAATGATAGCAAATTCATAAAAGTTCATGACCTATAAATATGGTTCTTAAATAACTAAAAAACGACATATTAATCAGGATGTGCTACTAACAAATTTCATAGGCAAATTCATATGAGCATTTAGTCAAACACATGACATTCTTATTATGATATTTAAACTAGAGAAACAGTAAACTTAAAGCGCCGTCACGAACACATAAAAAAAGTGCCTAAGACATAATTTTGACTTACGGAATGGAAGCAAAATTTAACTTTATACATACTGGAAAAGAAACAAATACTCTAACTTATCAATTGAAACACAAAAAGCACATATATTAATGTTTATAAAATTATTGTATTAACCATTATAAATTTATTCCTTTAGGTACTTAGTCGACACCTTGTATTCCTATTCAATTAAGTCAGAATACACACAATCCCTACACATGATTTCTATGCACAGACAGATTTCAAATCAGACTTTCTTCATGGAAAATAAACTATAACATACGTTTTTTTATAACAAAAGTGAGACATTTACTTCAAGTCTAGCAAAAGAAAACACGAAGAAGAAATTTTAAAGTCACTGACCTTTTTGTGGGCAGTGAATGGGGCATCGTCAAAAAGATCTATCTCTGGCTTTGGCTCAACTCTTTTGGAAGATCGTCAAATGCCGACACAAACAAAATAAAAACTTTGGCAAGGCTATAGACTAAATAGAGATCAAAAGGCAGAGAAAACTAAAAGCTAGATTTTAAAACAGTAAGGAGGGAGATAAACTACGATTAATTAACCAAACAGTGAGGGTTAAGGGAGATAGAAGGGGCGGTCCAAAAAGGTGTTAAAAATAGCCACAAAATCTGGTATTTATAAGTGTAAAATTAGGGTTCTTGGTTTTGGGCGGGATTCTGAAATTGATTCACATCTGTTGAGCCGTTTGAAATTTGAACATTGATGTTGCAGGAAAATTAAATGAGGTGTAGAGCTTTCGGTTCCAAAATGGTGATAGTGAGTTTGCCATGGCTGAGCAACAATGGAATTTTGTGAAGAAAAGGAAAGGGAGGAGAAGAAAGAAGCGTCTGTTTAGGAGAGAGAACGACGCTGAGATTAAGAGCTTATACGGCTGAGATTGAGTCTGACATATTTATCAAAATGACGTAGTTTCGATGTGTTCTAGAGTGTTCTATTGTTGGGCTAAAGTGGAGGATTTTGGGCTGCTGGTTGGGAAGATTTGGGCTGTCTTGGGCTACTTAGAGTGGCAAAATTTGGCCTCTCATTCCTATATTTTCTTTGTAGCAGCAGTAGCAGTAGCAGTAGCAGCAGCAGTAGTAGCAGTAGCAGTAGTAGCAGTAGTAGTAGCAGTAGTAGCAGTAACAGTAGTAGCAGCAGTAGTAGTAGTAGCAGCAGCAGCAGTAGTAGTAGTAGTAGTAGTAGTAGTAGTAGCAATAGTAGCAGTAGTAGTAGTAGCAGTAGTAGTAGTAGCAGCAACAACAACAGTAGTAGTAGTAGTAGTAGTAGCAGCAGCAGCAGTAGTAACATTAATAATACTAGTAATAGCGATATTAAGTAAAATAATAATAATTATTAGGTCTAGTTTGTTCTAAAAATGGTAAAATAGTTATTCTTACATTATTAGTGATATTAGAAGCTTAAAGAAATAGTTTGGAAGAAAGGAGGGACAAAATTGGATGTCAACACGCACCACTTAGTAGTACCATTTCCTTAATCATCTGAAACTGCTCGTGCTGCCTGAGAATTTGTGACCTTCCTTCCCAAACTGAATCGTGACCTTACACATGCCAATCTCGATCCTACACCACATACCGCATATACTATACCCTCCTAAGATAATCATGAGAACTTAATATCCTTTCCAAGCCACAAACATCTGCGTACTCAACTAACCAAGAACTTTCTATTGATCCCATCCAGAATAAAATCATTACACATCCCATGCTCCTTACACTCGTAGAAAATACGCATCTCTAACCATGGTAGAAACCATCAAGAACTCTCCAAATTCTATTTGCACAACACTAAACCATCAGGACTGAATCCTTCTAACTCAACCAAGCTACGCAGGCCACTAAACCCAAGAGCATTGCCATGAAACACTTGTATAAACTCATTACCTCATAAGCATCCAAAGAACTAATCATATTCTTACCCTACCGATCCGGTCTACTACCAAGCCATCCCACTTATTCAAGTTACTTCTGATTTATCTTCAACTTGATACTTCTTCTTGCCATAACACTACCATTTCTCAACCCAGACTCGCCACACGAGGCTCGACCATAACAACACACCGTCTAAGGCTCATAAGCCACTAAATACTCTCTTAAATATTCCCAAAGGCAATACATTCAAAAATATCTACCCTGACAAAGCTTCCTGTGAAACAAAAGTCATTACCTTCACCTTCTTGATATTGGCATATATAGAACTCCCTAATTGATATAGAAATACCACAAGCCTTGACACACTCCAAATGCAAACCTCAGTTTCCGGTCAATAATACAACTTGAAAATCTCTAATTATTACATGTAAAATCTTGAACACATTAGAACTATTCTCGAGAGTCATCCACTCTACTCAAACCTCAATTCGGCTGATCAAATGAACCGAACAACCTATGCCTCATTAGCACTCCAACACCGCAGGATGTAACCTCACCCAAAACCAAGCAACTTCCTGCTCTATGCACCTAACATCCTTTACCAATAAGAACTCAAATCATTCTGTGACTCTCATACACCCATAAAGCATAGCATAACCTTTATTGAAATTTCCTTTACTCGAGCCATCCTCGGTCTCATTCTCCGTAAGCCATAACTGATTCAGCCGCATGCCTCAAACTGGAACCAACATAGCACATAACCGTGCAGCCAACTAATTAGTAGCAGGCTCCCCCACTTGGCTCGAAGCCATAGATTAAAACACACACAATAACTCATAATGCATATACGGTATTACTGGCATAATACCATAGTGAGATTAAACTCAATCTTTCATAAGCTCGTGAAACACAGACCATCTTATACTTTAAATCTTCTGTAAATCTCGCATTCGCTCTCGAAATAGTTAAACTCACTTTCTTAGCCGACCCAAATTCAAGTTGCAGCACATACATTTCACCAGTAAAAGAGATCTTCCATCAGACCACATAAGGATCACACAACTTCAGAACACTCCGCAGGAGATAACCCACCTATTTCAGCTCAACTAACATTTCTTTATACCTTCCACCGTCATGAACATTATGCAGTCGCTTAATCTTCCTGAGTCTGAACTCATAACACAATGTGAAATCTTCTTCACTCCCCAACTAGAAAACATGAAAAGATTCTTCACACAACCATAACTCGGGGATATACCTCAAATCATGATGGAAATCAAGCACCAAATAGTTCTTCTATCCTCCAGCAGACCCTTCTCGTCGCTTCCAAATCGTATGAATACATCTCGCAGTCATGTCATACTTATCACACAGCTATACAGTCATCACTCCCACTAATAGGGACACTATCGGCAATGCAAATCCAAAAGCACGTGCTCACACAATCAGTGCCTCAATGCTCCAGCTATAGGCAAAAAACCGGCCTCAAGTCCTCCAGACTGGCCCAACATCAACACACAGAAATCACATCCCGCCCCCCCCGCTCGGGTAAATCACAAGCCATCGATGCACATCTGATACTGAGCGCTCATGCGCGCATACGAAGGCGTGGAAGGAATTCAAAGAGTTACATTCCAAGTAGAATCAAGGACGCACAATAAGAATTCAAGAATGTGAAGTTTTTCATAAAGGTTCTGCAGCCTCCCGAGAATAAGTACAGACGTCTCCATACCGATTCGCGAGACTCTACTAAACCTGCTCATGACTCGTGAGACCTATGTAACCTAGGCTCTTATACCAACTTGTCACGACCCCAACCGGACCCGATCGTGATGGCGCTTCTCATAAAGACAAGGCCAGTCGACACAATTCCCAAATTCATTCTTAGCAATTTCAATAAGTCAATTTAAATCATTTATAAGAAATAAATCCCAAATTTTAGCGAAATAGAACATGTGTGGAAATAGATACAGCTCGACATTGGGGTGTCACAAATCACGAGCATATACTAAGGTGAAAATGTACTAAATACAGTCTAATTAAATCAAGAAGGAGGAAAGCAATGTTGCAAACGTCGGGCAACTACCTTTCTAAACTCCGATGACTCTGCCTCTGAGCAACCAATACCCGCTACCGGGTTAAGAAATAACTGAATCTGCACACAAGGTGCAGGGAGTAATGTAAGTACTCTGACTCAGTGAGTAATAATAATAAATGAAGATTGAGTAATAAGAAATCACGGAAAGCACGTCAACAAGCTATAAAGAAGAAGTATAAAGCCAGCAAAACAATGAAACCGTGAAAACATGTAACGTCAACTTAGTTCAATTTAAGCTTCTTTAAAATGCCTTTTTAATAGTTAAGCAACTAAATGACAGGCAACTAGAAAAGATAAACAAATAAACAACCGCCCCTCGGGCACACTATCTACAGAATCATCCCCTCGGGCACAATACCAACAGAATTAGCCCCTCGAGCAAACACATAGAACAATACCAGCCCCTCGGGATATATCTCATATCACAATGGGTACCTGCGCTCACTGGGGTTGTGCAGACTCCGGGAGGGGCCCCTTACTGCCCAAGCGCAATATCAAGCCATCTTGTGGAATAATCAATAGGCTCTCGGCGTCATATCAACAAGCCACCTCATGGCGTACGAATCTCAGGACCTCGGCCTTATAATCATAGATCAATGTATCACTGCTGCGACGTGCAGCCGGACCCAAAAGTATCCTCACAACACAGGCCCTCGGCCTTACTCAGTCAGAATCTCATAAGCCACTCGGGCAACAGTAAAACATGATGCTCAGCCAATATCATTTAATGTATTAAAATAGAGTAAACATGGCTGAGTTATGAAAACAGTAGAATATAGCATGGCCGAGTACAAGTATAAAGTCAAAATAGTAAGGAAATATCAGTAAAAATCCTCTAAGGGTCCAAATAGTAATGAGGCCCAAATATGGCATTCTGTCCAAAACATGATGATAGCAAACAATTTTCCAATCAAATACGTGGTAAAATAGTCATTCGGGACGGACTAAGTCATAATCTCCAATGGTGCACGACCCCACGCTCGTCATCTAGCGTGTGCATCACCTCAATATAGCACAATGATGTGTAATCCAGGGTTTCATACCCTCAGGAGAATATTTAAAATCATTACTCACCTCGATCCGGTCCAAACTCTAGCCCGCGATGCCTTTGCTCCTCGAATCGGTCTCAACTCGCATCGAATCTATCCAAATCAGAATCACGACGTCAAAATATGTTAATGGAACGAAGCCCATGTGAAAATAATCAATTTACAGCATCAATACCGAAATTGCTCAAACCCGGCCCCCAGGCCCATACTTCGGAACCCGACAAATATCATATCAATATAATCCTCATCCTCCCACGAGTCTGTACATATCAAGAACATCAAAATCGGACCTCAAATGACCCCTCAAATCCCCACTCAAAAGTCTCTTAATCTCAAGCCCTAATTACCCATTTTTGCACTAAAATTTCACTACTAATTAGGCCCTTAATAACATATAAACGAGTTATTAAGTCAAAAATCTTACCTTTACGAGATTATCCTTTGGTTTCCTCTTCAATTAACTCTCCAAAACCTTCTCTCGAATGACATATGGTGAAAACCCACTAAAAATCGCGAAGGGAACCTTTTATACTCTCTGACCCAGGCATTTTCGCACCTTCGGTCCTTTTACCGCTTTTGCGGCTAATCCACCACATCTACGGATTTTCATTTAAATGACCATTTCCGCATCTGCGCTACTGCAGGTGCACCCACTTCACCGCTTCTGTGGTTCTTAAAGATCTTCCGCTTGGCCGCATCTACGGCTGCCTTCCGCTTCTGCGAGCATCGCACCGGCGTCCTCCCAACTGCAGGTGCGGTTATGACAACAACTAAAATGCTTTAGCTCCCAAACTCAACTCCAAACCTTCCGCCAACCACCCGAAATCACCCCCCCCGGACCTCAACCAAAAGCAC